TTTTTTAAATGAGATACCCTGTATATTATTTTTTTATTAAATTTGCCTTGTCATGAGCTTTCCAAAAATATAATATACTCTAGATTTATTTTCATAAATAAGGTAAAAATACATTTTTTAATTTTTTAACATAGGCAGCAGATAGACATAATAGATATAGTCATGACAATTGAATAATTTATTCAACGTCAAATTTTGGCTATTGTCTTTTGCGTGCTAGTGTCCGTGTTGTTTTTTTATTCACTGTAGCTGCTAAACATGACAGAACAACAAAATTTTGATTATTTTTAAAAATATGACATGAATAAATGTTTTATATTAGCCAAAGAAGATTCTGATGCAGCGGCAGAGCTCTATTTGGACAGATAGGTTACCAGGTACAGGTATTCTTGTATATAATTAAAACATTGTAATTAATCGTATTCCAGATATTCCGAAAGAAGACAGCCAGATAAGCGCATATTTCGGAAAATACAGAGCAACCTAATTCAGTATGGATGTTTTAACACACCCAGATCAAAAATATATAACAAAGAAAATGAAGCACATCTGAGGTAAATGTTTTAGTATCAGTTGAAGCCACACCAGACACATATTGTAGATGCACAGAGGAAGATGTGGGTGTATCTAAAACCAAAGTGCAAAAAATTTTAAAATAATTTAAATTCAAACCATATTATATAAACTTGTGTATCATTTTTACCCTGGTGTAGAGTCGACTTTTGCTGGTTCATCGACATGTGCGGAAGAGTGAATAATTTTCACAAGATCATTTGGTCGGACGAAGCGTATTTTACTAGTACGGGTGTCCGAAATAGGCAGAATTCAAGATTTTTATTTATTCTCTACTTTTATTTTGAAAGTTCAATCAAAGAAGAGGCAATCAAACCTAAAAGCTGGTTATGCAGCTTTTAGATTTGATTTTGCCAATTTTCATAATAAAAAATTGCCTGGTTAAATAAAATAAAATAATAGTCTTTTGAACTAGGTTATTTTATGTTTAAAAGTTAAAAAATGTATTTTTTACCTTACTTATGAAAAATAAGTCTAGGGTATATTATATTTTTGGAAAGCTCATGCCAAAGCAAATTTAATAAAAAAATAATATATAGGGTGTCTAATTATATTTCCCATTTTATTACGCAAATGAGAGCTCCCAACGAAAAACTAGTTACGCTACTGGATTCTACGTGAAAATGTCCACTGGGCTCAGTTTTCACCTTTTCGATAAGTTATAAGATAACCGAGATATAAAGGGGGTCGAAAAGTGCAACATTTTCAATTTCACCCTGTATTTCAGGAACTAGGAGGGCTAGGACAAATCTGTGTGTAGCATCCTTAGTTTCATAAAGAAGTAGCACAGTGATGTGAAAACCGCATCTTTTTCCCACACGAAAATGGGACACCCTGTACTACTTGATAGTTACAATTAAGTATCTTTAAAAAAAATGAGAACTCTTTTTTTAAAGTTAATTACTTTTTTAATAAGATAATCAACTTCAGGTAACATTCCATAATTAATTGCAATTTTTCTTTATTTGTATTTATCCTAAAACCAATAGATTTAAATAAAAACGAAAAATGTATTTTATGGATGTTTAAGAAGAACTAAGTTCTTTTTGGTTTTGTGTCCATTTTTATCTCCTGTTCTTTACCGAACTAGATGTGATTTTCTGTTCCAAACAAAAACAAGTACAAATAAAACATCGTAAAGAAAACAACATATTTATTTGAGTTTTATTGCGATGATAAATACAGTTATTATTTTTTAGCACATCTCTGAGTATTTTTTCGAACATATATGCGTCTTTGGTATAGTATCATTAAAGTTTCAAAAATGAATGAATAGTTTTTTAAGGTAAATAAAAATTAGCGTAATCCGAATCCAAGGGTCGAAGTATCCGCAACACTTTAGATTCTTCAGGCGTGTTGTATGAAGACATGTCTCTGAAATAAACACAACATTAATACTATGCATTCGAAAAATGTTCAATAGACGTTACGAGAAATGGTTTCTTTGATTGCCAATTCTTTCCAGTTGCTTTTCAGACTGGATCTTTGAAAACTGATTCAAGTCGTTGAAATCTCTTGGAAGATCCAACAAAGCATCGTTTTCATTGGATACACTGTTGAGAAAATAAAATCATAAATTTAATTATAAACTGAGACAATTCAAAATCTTTGGGTTTATCCTATGGGTTTATCGACATATGTACCTGCATACGGAATCTCGTTTTAAAATAATTCTGAAGGGAGTAGAAATAGTGAATCCATAGAAAGTCAAACTTATCAATCTTAGTTTTTCTATGTTTTCGAAATCGCCTTTCAAAACGAAATTTCGCATAAATGTAGTCGGTCTGTTAAAAAGAATACATGAAGATTTGAAGTAAATGTTATAAGTGCCAAAATCATTATTTCGAGATAAACAACATTTTTGTGTTATATATAATTTTTTGTTAAATAACAAATAATTAAGATAAGACAGAGCAGGTAAATTTTGCTTCACTCAAGATATTTTTGTAAAAATTAATGCATATTAATAATTTAAAAGAAATCAAAGATGTGTCAAATAATTAATTAAGTAATTAGATATTTATGTGAGGAAGTGGCGTAACTTGACAACTGGGGGCCTCGGTGCAATATATTTTTGGGAGCCCCTGAGTAAAGAACAAAACCAAAATAATGTATGTTTTTTACTAAATATTTTTTTGGAGGGCTGTGCGGGGCTCCAAATTCCTGTCGGGCTGCCCTATGGTAGCTAAGCCACTGATGAGAGGAGCAAAATAAATGTATAAAAAGTATAAGAGATTAAAGATTGAATCAATAGATTTAACCTTGAAACAGCTAATCATATTGTCGTTGATTGAAGAATTCTTTCAGTCAACGATATTATATTGTGTATTTGTAAATTATGGACTGTATCTGTATATACAGGGTGAGTTTCCTACGATGTTCTCTATGGGTATCTTGGAAACTACTGGAGATAGAGAGTTGGTTAAATGGGGAAAGAATTGCAGTTTTGTGGGGTCATAAATATGCGCCTTTCAGATTTTTGAAAATGTTCGTGGCTTACTAGATATTTTGAAAAAAACAAATTTCGGCTATTTTAAAAATTGTCCCTAATTCTATTATAAGCTATTTTAGACAAAAAGTTTTCAGATAAAAGTTGTAGATAATCACATCCTTAATGAGATCGTGTCCTCTGTTTTTTTCTAAAGCCTGTCATTTTTGACATATCACACAAACATATGTTTTTTTTTAAATGGAAACCATAGTTGGCCATGCCTTCATAAAAAGCGGAATTTTTTAAGCTTTTTAGCGATATAAGCTATAATATGTTTTCTTCGAAAAATTACTGAGTTATAGCCAATTCTTATCATTTTTAAACAATTTCACTTAGTTAGCCACGGAAACAAGTTCAATCGCCGTTACTCTCAGAAATGTGAAGCTGTCACATTCAAACTTTGTAAATTAAAATAAACAAAAATTGTAAATATGAATTTCTCAAATGAAGAAAAGCGTGTAAATACTCGCGCATCAATAGAGTGTTTCCAAAATGACTTTCATGATGCCCCCCCCCCCGCATAATGAAAGAAATGTTAAAAATTATTGATATCATAATAATACAAACTCAGGAATAGGAAGAGGTGGACTAATTGCATGGGCCTCCTCGATCACCTGACCTATGCATTTTAGATTTTTTAATGCGGTATGGTTAAAAATAAGGTTTACAAAAGAACTTATGAATTAAGAGAGGCACTCGAAGTGGCGGTACGAGAGAAGTTTAATTAAGTCAACCGGTCCTTTTGTGAGAATAGGTAATAATTCAGTTTTAAAAAGATGTAACTCAAAACAATGGCGGATTTTTTGAACATTTTCTAAAATAACTTAAAGTGTATGCAGTGACTGAAGCGATATTATTTTTTTAAGTTTTAGTTTGTGTAATGTAAATTCTAAAGAACCGTTTAGTAATATATTCTGACTTTTTATAAGTTATAAATCACAAAAGAATAAGAATGCCATGCAATCTAAGTGAAATTAGTCAAGAAAGATAAGAATTGGCTATAACTAAATTTAACTTCTCTAACAAGTCTTGAAAATCGTTCTCTAAAAAACATAACATTCACCGGTCAACGTATCCTCGAAAACGTATGGTCAAGAAAAGTTGAACCAATAATCTTACACGCTTTTCTTCATTTGAAAAATTCATATTTACAATTTTTGTTTACTTTAATTTACAAAGTTTGGATGTGGCAGCTTCATATTTATAAGAGCAAAGACGATTGTTTCCATGGCTAACTAAGTGAAATTATTTAAAAATGATAAGAATTGGCTATAACTCGATAATTTTTCGAAGAAAACATATTATAGCTTATATCGCTGAAAAGCTTAAAAATGGCACTTTTTATAAAGTCATAGCCAACTATGGTTTCCATTTAAAAAAACATATGTTTGTGTCAAATGTCAAAAATGACAGGCTTTAGAAAAAAACGGAGGACACAATCTCATTAAGGATGTGATTATCTACATCTTTTATCTGAAAACTTTTTGTCTAAAATAGCTTATAATGGAATTAGGGACAATTTTTAAAATAGTCGAAATTTGTTTTTTTCTAAATATCTAGTAAGCCATGAACTTTTTCAAAAATCTGAAAGGCGCATATTTATGACCCCACAAAACTGCAATTCTTTCCGCGTTTAACCGACTCTCTATCTCCAGTAGTTTCCGAGATATCCATAGAGAACATCGTAGGAAACTCACCCTGTATTTGATTTAAATAGTTATTTAAATAACAACATTTACCTGTTTACAGCGGGTTCCCAGGGTTTTGACTTCTTTCCTAAGCATCCTCCAGCTGTCATAAGACAAGATCTACCAAATCTCCCTCCCAAAACTAATGAGCTAGTTTGGCGTTCTTAGATAGACAGAAAATATATTAAATTTAAATATAAATGCTGATTCTTGCATAAAACAGGGTAATAAATAAAGTAACTTCAATATGAATTTACGTAATAACTTTATTAGAGTTGGTTTAACTTTCAAATGTACAAGATTTAAAAAATATATTTTTATTATGTTCAATGATTGTCTAAGTTCGTATACATTCCCCAGATCCGTTGCTTCTGCTTTTTACCTCTCAATTTAAAAACAAACTTATTTTTTTCTGATCAATCCACCTCCGCCAATTTTATCTATTGATCTAGAAGCTAATAGTCCACCACCTCCGATACCATCTAAAGCTCTTGCTGATAAAAGTCCACCGCCACCAATGTTGTCAAGAGCTCTTGAACTAAGAAGGCTACCCCCTCCTATGCCATCTAACGATCTTGAAGCCAAGATGCCACCGCCGCCAATATTATCCATTGCTCTTGCTGCTAACAATCCACCACCTCCGATACCATCTAAAGCCCTTGCAGATAAAAGTCCACCTCCACCAATGCCGTCAAGAGCTCTTGAGCTAAGAAGGCTACCTCCTCCAATACCATCTAATGATCTCGAAGCTAAGATACCTCCACCACCAATATCATCAACACTTCTAGAAGCTAAAATACCACCTCCACCGATTCTGTCTAGTGCTCTTGCAGTCAATAATCCCCCACCGCCAATACCATCTAACGCTCTTGAAGCTAAGATGCCACCACCGCCAATATCGTCGACACTTCTAAAAGCCAAAATACCGCCTCCACCGATATTATCCATTGCTCTTGCTGTCAATAATCCACCACCGCCAATGCCATCTAACGCTCTTGAAGCTAAGATGCCACCACCGCCAATATCGTCGACACTTCTAGAAGCCAAAATACCTCCTCCACCGATATTATCCATTGCTCTTGCTGTTAGTAATCCTCCACCGCCAATGCCATCTAATGCTCTAGAAGCTAGAACTCCACCTCCACCGATATCGTCGATTGATCTGGAGGCTAACAATCCACCACCTCCAATACCATCTAAAGCCCTTGCAGATAAAAGTCCACCTCCACCAATGCCGTCAAGAGCTCTTGTAGCTAGGACGCCACCACCTCCAATGTCGTCAATCGATCTATAAGATGAAACTCCGTTTCGACGATTACCATTCCTAAGTCTTGTTGATAACATGCCTCCTCCTCCAATGTCATCGACAGATCTATAGAACAAAACACCTCCTCCACCAATATCATCAATGCTTCTACTAGCTAATAAATCGCCCCCGCCAATTCCATCTAAACTTCGTTGATTTTTCAAATGAAGCAGGTTCTTCAATTTATAACCTAAAACATTTCATTAATTTTAAAAATCTTTTATTATTAACTTGTTTAGTGTACAATTCTAGTTATTTGTGTGTGAAAATTGAAGTAACATAAGTTAATGTATTTTACTCGTAAGTCAAAGGTTCTTTTTTGGTGGTAGTAAGGAGCCTATTTTGTTTTCACGAACTCAGAATAATGGCTCTTAATCTTATAATGGCTCACTGACTTTAGCAAATCTCTAAATTAATTCTTATGATATGTCCGATTTCATTCAGCTCCTAACAGACGTAAATGAGCAGTGCGTTTCAATAAATTTTCCACTATTGCCTTGGAACAGTAGCACGAGGGAGCTTTCCAAACATTCACAATGCTTAGATATTCAAGTTCATGTTTTTGCCAATGTTGTTTCACATATATGTTTTATTTGTATAAAAAAAAACTATTAGTGGTAGACATAAAAAATTAGAATAGAAAAAATGTGAAAAATATAAATAGAATGTAACAACATATTGATTGCTGATACTACTTAAAATTTAAAATAGCAAAAATACTACTACCTTTTAAACAAAAGGTTTAGCCTAGTATTAAATATTAAATTGTACTGAAGCTGTGGTTGGTTCCTTGTGAAACATCGTTGAAATATTAGTATTTTAATAAAGCACGCTTTTAGATGTTTCAAAAAACTTTTAATAAGAGTAACTTTAACTCAACATATATGTTTCGGCTTGTTAGGCCTTTTTCAAGAGTTTTTTAAGAACTAATCGTCTAACTACACTGTAACTATATATATTTACTATGGGGGTGGGTTCAGAGAGTTTACAATAGGGGTAATAAAAAATGTGTTTAGAAATCCTTGTTGGTCGTTAACATTATTTTCGTTTTTAACAGATTTTAGTATTTCTAACTGTTCAATGTAATTTAAGCGTCTACCTTTGTTTCTCTGTGTAGTAACTTAATTGAGTTTTCATTAATTTTGTGATTATTTACTATACAATGAGTTGCAAGACCAGAACTATGCTGAGATTATTAATAGACTTTACATGTTCTTTAATCCTTATATCTAAATTTCTACCTGTTTGGCCTATGTACACGGCATCACAATCATTGCAATCCACCCTATATACACCCGACTTATTTTTGACATTAGTTTTGTCTTTATTATTTAATAAAATTTGACCTAAATTTCTTTTATTTATGTTAATAGTTTTACATCCTATTTTATTGAGATTATTTGATATTTTGTTAGTTAAATTAGGAATGTAGTTTAAAAGTCGATAATTGTTATTGTCTTTAGAATTAGCGGAATAAAAATTTTTCATTAATATTTTCTTTTTTGTTTTTCTTTAGCATATTATCAATAAGGGAACACTTATATCCATTGTTGATGGCGATTTGTTTAATAATATTTAACTCTTTTTTAAAATTCTCTGGGCTCAGTGGAAACATTACTAATCTATGAATTAAACTATGAAAGGGTGACATTTTGATTTGCCAGGATTGGTGTGATTGACTATGTATTACAGTGTCTGTGGTAGTGGGTTTTCTGTAAATATCAAATTGTAATCTATTAGACTGTTTTATAATTGTAACATCAAGAAAATTGATGGTGTTAATACCTTTTTCAATAGTAAATTGTATTCTCGGGTTAATTGAATTTAATAATGTTAAAAAACTGTTTAAATTTCTCTCGGTGCCTGACCAAATACAAAAAATGTCATCTACATATCTTGCCCTTTTTTGATCAAAAATAAATTATTGGGTTAAGATTATTAAGATATAAGGATTAAAGAACATGTAAAGTCTATTAATAATCTCCAGCATAGTTCTGGTCTTGCAACTCATTGTATAGTAAATAATCACAAAATTAATGAAAACTCAATTAAGTTACTACACAGAGAAACAAAAGGTAGACGCTTAAATTACATTGAACAGTTAGAAATACTAAAATCTGTTAAAAACGAAAATAATGTTAACGACCAACAAGGATTTCTAAACACATTTTTTATTACCCCTATTGTAAACTCTCTGAACCCACCCCCATAGTAAATATATATAGTTACAGTGTAGTTAGACGATTAGTTCTTAAAAAACTCTTGAAAAAGGCCTAACAAGCCGAAACATATATGTTGAGTTAAAGTTACTCTTATTAAAAGTTTTTTGAAACATCTAAAAGCGTGCTTTATTAAAATACTAATAAATATTAAATGTTAAAAATTAAACCAAACTTTATTTTTTTAAATATAAAAAGAGTAAATAAGTTACAAACATAAAGAATTAAAAAAAATAAAAAATATAATATTCTTTATGACAGATGAAGGATCACTCCAAATCAGTAATAGGCGGTAGGTAAATACCCAACGTTTAGTTAAATAAAATTTGGGTATATACCTAGTATAGAAGGTGTAGGGTATATACCAATTGAGGAAAACTGTAGATATATACTGGTATATTCCTGGTAATATACCAGGTACTTACTATGCCTATAAAATTGGGGCATTCACATGGTATTCACCTAAATTTGTACCGTCCGTCGCGTCGGCGCGCGGCGTTGTGTGTCGTTGATAGAATTTGTAGTTTCTGTGCATTTTTTCACTAACTGGTGATTTTTTGACCCACTAGATGTTTTTTAATGTCGAATTTACCAACAAATTGTTAAAATTTGTTATAGTAAGTATATTGGGTGGTTATAGTATATATTGGTTATAGTAAGTATATGGGTGGTGACAATTTCGATGCTCAACATAGGCATCTCAGAAAGTACGAGAGATACGAAATCGGTTAAATGGGACAAAAGTTGCATAATTAGAAGTTTGACAAACACCTATGAAGAAAGCCACGGTATCTTCATTAGTTTCGGATTTATGTCAAGAAAATGAAAATAATACGTTTATTTTAAATGAGAATATCTTCAGAATTATTGTATTTATAGCAACGTAAGTTGGTAGTTTTATATTTTTGACCTCGACCAATTAAATGCCGTTTTCAGAAAATTTCTAAGCCTTCTAGATTTCGCACAATAACTGTCAAGTTATTGTTTTATTATGGCCGCCATTTTGAATTTTTATACTATTAGATAGAACGAAAAAAAGTCTATACGGTGGTATCTAATTTTTATTCATTATTATGTAAATTCACTAAAAAATTAGATTTTTTAAAAATTCGCTCAAAAGATCAAGTCTGCCTTGGAAATCCAATTGACACTTTATATGTTAGCAAGTTATTTTTTGTTTATTCTATTAAGTGTCAAATCTGTATTGCACATATTGCCAAGAATGCCAGCCCAGATGTTCAAAGAATATCTTATTTGTGGTCTGGTTTCTCATATAAATGAGAATTTTCTTTTGTATAATAATGTGATTTTTTTGTTAAATGTACCAGAATTTGTAAATAAAGATACATCCGTCCATAATATTTTTCTAGAAAAAAAGGGGGCCCTCTTGAACACTTTCCCGAAACAATTAGCAAAATTGTAATCTTCTCTCGTGATCACCAGCATGTAAAAAAGTGTAAACTTGGTACACATTTAAATTAAAAGTTGCGATATTTATGTTTTTTCATAATTTTACCTACATAAGAATCACTTATACAACACTCGCGACTTATTTTACGGCTAGAAGTTTCCGGATTTATTTCAATCTGAGCTGGCACATTAATATCATTAAGCCTTTTAAAATATTGCCCTCTTGTTTTTTAAAGCTACCAGTAACTGCTAAATTTCTTGAAATCCTTGCGAAAATAGTACGATGAGGCTTTGTCCTTTCAGGATACAATGTTCTATAACTTGCGCATGCCATATTAGTCCGGCAGCAGAACCCGGATTTTTCCCTGAAGTGCCAATTGTGGGATTAAGTTTTTTTATGACTGATTATTATAGATCTATATGTCTATTTTCCATATCCGGCTGATGACAAGCTGTCACCCTTGGAGAAATCCAGATATACAGGGTGTCCCAAAATATAAGACATAAAAATGTATTCGATAGGTTTTTAAGCTTTAGGCCTTAATTTTTGTGTGGGTTGGTCAATTTATTGTATTTATACTAAATATAGGCTTACCTTTATCAATATACAGGGTGATTAAAAAAATAAAACTTATACCTACATTTTCCGATTAATATTTTTCTTGTTTTTAGAACTTTGTATCTTAAATTCAATTCAACACTCATTATTGGTATTAATAATTTTAGGTTAAGGTTCGAAGGTCTTTGAATTACCGATGATTTTGTGTTTCCACTTCAATGATTCTGTGAAATGTTTAACACACATTTTTAATAATGTAGAGTAAAGCAAAAACATTGAGTTAATGAAGCCTCAACAAAAATGTTAGCATAGAAATATTGGACTTTTCATTATAGTTGCTGATACTTTTAGTTTTAGTATTAGTGAAAAGAAATAATATAAATATCATAAACATTTTCATTAAGGCTCCATTAACTCAATTTTATTACTTACATAATTATGTTATACTAAATACAGGGTGCGTTTCCTACGACGTTCTCTATGGGTATCTCGGAAACTACTGGAGATAGAGAGTCAGTTAAATAGGGAAAGAACTGCAGTTTTATGGGGTCATAAATAAGCGCCTTTCAGATTTTTGAAAAAGTTCATGGCTTACTAGATATTTCGAAAAAAACAAATTTTGGCTATTTTAAAAATTGTCCCTAATTCCATTATAATCTATTTTAGACAAAAAGTTTTCAGATAAAAGTTGTAGATATTCACATCCCTAATGAGATTGTGTTGTCCGATTTTTTCTAAAGCCTCTCATTTTTGACATATGTTTTTTTAAATGGAAACCATAGTTGGCCATGACTTCATAAACAGCGTCATTTTTTTAGCTTTTCAGCGATATAAGCTATATGTTTCTTTCACAAAATTACTGAGTTATAGCCAATTCTTATCTTTCTTGACTAATTTCACTTAGTTAGCTATGGAAACAAGTTCAATCGTCGTTGCTCTCAGAAATATGAAATTGTCATATTCAATCTTTGTGAATTAAAATAAACAAAAATTATAAATAAG